TCTGTCTGTCTGTCTGTCTATCTATGAAGAAAGACTCTATATATAGCTGCCTTCATGAACTATGTTTTGTATGTTAGTGTGCTCTATCAGCAGGACATATCTAACAGGCATCAAAAGCAAATCAACACAGCTGTTACTATTGATATTAATAAAGCTTTGATACATGTTCTCACATGTCCCAGACCAATATCTATCGGTCATAGAGGGTTTAGTCGTTCTATATTTATTGACCTTCAACTTCTAAGTAAGAGTCTCTCCCAGGCAACAGTTGTCTTCAGACATATTCTAGTTAAGTGTGTCAAAGCACAAGTATTGAAGCACACTTATGACTATTCCTGAGGTTAATTATAGCAGGACATGTCAACCAATTACAAACTTATACTTATATATAAGTACACTTATATATATACACATTTATACTTTGATATTACAGTGTAAAGGAATAGTGGAGAGTGTAAACAGAATTAGTGGACTTCTTAATGCTGTTTCACTGAACAGAATGATAAGACTTAATTATTATAAAACAGTCTTCTTGGTTAGTTTCATCTCTGCTCACTCTGTGGTGTGAAAACCACAGAGATAAATATAGAACACAAACAAAATGTTTGGTGCTTTAAATATGCCATTGTACAACCAGCAGGTGTAATTTGAACCGTAGCTTTCCACAAAAGATTTCCACAAAATTATTTAGCATTTCTTTTGTGAAGTACTGCACAGTTTCCAGGGGATCAGCCTTTCACACAAGCATGAGCAACACAAAAATTAAGTTTCCCCTCATTGTTTTACAAATCGCATGTTTTTCCCTCTTCATATAGTGGAGGTAAATGTAGACATACAGTACCTGACACAGAGAGAAGGACAATAAAACATCCCGTTGCTGCTGAAGTTAAACTCATCGATGCTCCTCTCATTTGTCTGTGGGTCTTCAGAAACAATGAATCATGTCAGCAAAAAGGAGACAACTTGAAGCTTCTCATCTGATACATAAACTGAATATCGTAGCATTGTCACATCACTTCACCTGTAGTGGAAAACATACATTTTTAAAACTATATAAAAATAATATATATTAAGGTGTAAGCGACAATCTGCAAATAAATTAGAGCTGTTTTCTACGAGCGCTCTAAGTTTAGGAGACGCTACTTCAGTTTTTCTACAAATATTTGTTGCTGCATCATGACAGGACACTGCTGCAGTGTATCAGCAAACAAACAGGAAGTACTTGTGAGCAAACATTGAAATCATCTCCATTGAGGGCTCGTCTGGGATTTGAGCCCAGGACATCTCGCACCGAAAGTGACGATAATTCCCCAATCCGAAGAGCCAAGCCGTTGACCCGTCACATCAGATCAACAGCTGTGTAATACTTTAAATCTGAGGGCAAAGAGGCCAAAATAGAATTTGTGTCTGGCACAACTGGGGCTGTAGACACAACAATGCTATTGATGGCCAGCAGTTCTTGCACAAATCTCCATTGGTTTGGGAGATTTGGCTTTGGAGTCGGCAAAATAGGAGTGTTGCAGGGACTGTTGGTCTCCACCAACACTCCTTCATCCAATAGGGACTGAATTGCACCCTCTATGCCTGCAGTTACCCTTTGGGATAATTGATACTCCCTAATCATGGGAAGTTTAGCATAAGGGTTTAACCTGAACAATGTGTGGTGGGGCAGATGTTACAAAACCCACATGGTTACTTTGTTTTGCCCGTAGCATACGAGGGACTTCAAATAGATCCGATTGGGGTCCATGCAAAGCAGGAAAGTGTGTTTTCTGTAAAACAAAGACACTTGAAGGCAGGGTGACATTCTCAGGAATTTTTACCCAAATCATTACCCAGAGCAGCTGTTGTTGTAATCAGTGGACCGGAGACAGTCTCATGCAGATTACGATACCTCCTTATCATATCACTCTATTGTTTCTCCTCTGCTCCTGCTGCAACAGCAACCTTGATATGAGGCAGGACGTCATGATCTCTGTACAGAAATAGACGTTCACTTGTGAATTGTACTTTCAAAATGCACCCTTCAGGTCCCACAATCAAGACATTTTCACAAAGTAATTGATTGTTCGAAGTAAACTGAAGCCATATTTTGATACTCAGTGGATGGATTATCAGTGAACTGCCTGTAAAACTTTGTCATCAGGAATAGTTAAAAACAACCCATCTGGAGTACAATGAATACTTTCATTCAATCCACAAAGAAGATCGCTCCCCACCAGACTTAAAGGTGTCCCTGCAGAAATCAGAAAAGAACGTTGAATCTGCGACCGAAACATGAGTTTTTTCAGACAGGGGTTCAACTGCAGGTGTGCCGCAAACTCCCACAGTTGTGAATGCCTTGCGGGTGGGGATGCAAACGTGACCAGCTGAAAGTGTAGCACCACTTTATTTGAATTCGTGTACCATCAGTTTCTGATGAATGATAGCAAAGACTCGTCCTCATTCTGCACACAAATACTAAGTTTATTAGGTTTGCTCTGACAACATACAAACTCTGTGCCGTCTGGCTACTGATCGTTTACAGTTGGGGGGCAGGAAAAAAGAAGATTTAACCGCTGACCACTCCTGATTGTAAGTGCATCCCAACAGTATCTCCACATCTGGCCCTACTGTACAGAGCTGCTGTTGTGTCCAACCATTTTAGGTATTTTGTGGGGTTAGTGAAAAGGTGTATGCCTCCAGACACAATGTCTCTCGCTTCAGCTGAAGTCCAGGGCTTACACACTGCTGTCTCACACACCATACATTTAGAGAAAGATTGGTTGGTTTCCTGTGAGTCTGGATGTTCTGATTTCCTCTGTGTGTTCTGGGATGTTATCAGGGTCTAGCTTTTTCTCCTCTTTTCTTTTCTTTGCTTCACTTTTCCTGCTCCTGTGTCTCAGTGCTCTTTTTCCACTTTAACACTTTCATCTTTTGAGCCTGAATCCTTTGAGTCTACTTCCCTCTCAGATTTAGATTTAGATTTCCAGCCCTTCTTTTCTTTTTTCGGCTCTCCTCCTGACCCTGACCCTGACCCTGAGCTCGCTTCTGCGACTGGCTGCGCTGCATCTCAGTCTGAGCTGCTCCTGAATAAGAGCAATGATCATTAACATCTGTGCTTTTAGCTCTGGCTAAACTTTCCCTTGTTCTGTCTTTTTTTTTTTTTTTGCTTCTTTATTTTTGGTTTCTTTGTTTACTCTTACACACATCATTGGGAGGTAATCTGTCACTACTATCTCTGGCACATGAATCCCTGCAGCCCTGATCAGCAAACACATTCCTTGCAGACTGGCTTTCTCTTTTCCCTGCTCCCTCGCCCAGCTGTACAGTAAAGTAGCCGTGCCTTTACTACGCATTTGCGAGGTGATCACATTCGGAACTTTCAACTGTTCAGCACGCTTATTCAGCTCTTGGTCAAATACAGCTTCAGCACTCCTTGAACTCGCTCTTCCATTCATCATCCAGCTACTCGTAACTCTTTTCACTTTTCTCCTCTGCACGCTCCATCCAAATGTTTACACACTCACTCTTATAAGCAAGGTCCCACTTTGGATCACCAGAGCGTCTGTTTGGTTTTGATGCTATAAGGTCGAGCTTCTCTGCTTTGAGTGAGCCCAGATGTGGCCATTCTCCTTATGTCCACGGTATGCATGGTACCAACCTTTTGCTCGCCCTACCTGCTCTGCCGGTGTTTCAGCAATAAAGTGTTCATGATAGGGGCCTGAATTTGGATTTTTTTCATTGGTTTTGTCTCGCAGAGGGGTCAGGGTTAATCTTGTGTCTGGTTTTTTGACACTACATTTTGGGACTGAGCCTCTCCTGCTGTGGACTGATGACCACCCACGGTTGTCTCATTCAGTCTCTTCTGTTTTATTCATGCACACATGTGTCAATCTGTTTCGAGACCAAACAAAATTTATACACTTTTTGCAGCTCAGTTTACACAGCTTCTACTCAAAATTCGATCCGAGTGTTCTTTTGACAATCATCCATTGAGATGAATTGTTCAAGCGCCTGTATCTGCTCAGCAGTTTCCCTCTGACACTTACTCCCTGCAGGACCCTGGTCAGGCAGTGAATCGTTTTGCAATTCCACAGATAAACACATTTAAATTTACTGAGAACATCTTCCCAATAGCGGAAAGCTCACACAGTGTCCCCTAAGGTCGAGTCCGAACCGTCCATTTAAAGTAGGGGTGCCCAATCC